AGGGGACAGGGGAGGTGGGTGCTCTGGAGCCCCCAGGGCAGCTCCAGGAGAGCGTTTCCAGCACAGACAGCCGTGGCAGGGTGGTCAATGCCCTCCTGCAGAAGCAGGAATGGAGGCGAGAGCAAGGTCAGAGACGTGGCTGAGGAGCCAGCGGGCACTAATCTGGCTGGGACTGCCCATCCCTCTGCCCTGCCCAGCCCATAATCCCGTTTGCTGCTGGAAATGCTCTTTATTGACTGAGGATGTGGCTCTCTGCTCCCTGGTAATGCCATCACATGCAGATGGACGTGGGATACAGAGCAAACAGGAAACTCTGTGCTGGGGCTTTCCCTGGGGCTTTTCCCCTGGATTGTGCCACATAAACACACATTTGCAGTAAATGTGGGGGAGTTCCCGGTTTATGGGCAGTTTCTGAATGCCCAAGAGGTTGCTTTGCTCTGAAGCAATGGTCCTGCCAGCAGCCACCCACCTGTGACCTTTGCTGCTAGATCAGGTAATTGCCATCCTTCACTTCAAGAACCTTTTGAACATATTTGAGCTTCACTAATTAATGTTCCTATGAGGACAAACATACACTCCTGTATGTCTATCAGCAGAATTTGCCTAATTCATCAAGAGCTGCTGTTCATGTGTTTAAAGGACCTGAAAACCAAAGCTAAATGAAGCTGATTCCTCTGTTCTCTTTTCCCCAGTGGACAAGTTTGGATGAGGGGTTTTTCCCTCAGCAGCCTCAGTTCAGTGTCCCTTGACTCAATCCTGCCTGAAGTTTTCATGGTACTCTCATCGTAGATTTCTCCCCCAAAAAACAAACACAGAGAAAGATCTTTCTCTCTTAAGCAGGGCTGACTGAGTCCTGGGCTGCCCTTGGTGCTTGTTTTGTGTGTAAATCCCTGTAGGAATGTGGGATTTGTGTGTTTGTGTGTGAGAGAATAGCAGGGGTCCCTCTGTTTCTCTGTTTCTTGTGATGGACAGAGCTTCTGGCCTGGCCAAAGAGAACCATGGAATGGTTTTGCTTGGAAAAGCCCTCAGAGGCCATAGAATGCAGCCATCCCCCAAAGCCCCCGCTCTCCGTGTCCCTGAGTGCCACATCCACACATCTTTTTGAGCCCATGTGGGGACCTGTGCCCGTCTGGCACCCCCAGGAGGATAAACCCTTCTGCCAAGACTCTGCTTCCTTCCCTGGAGCTTTTCCCACATTTGGGATGAGCCCAAGCCCTTTGTGCAGCCAGGCCTGAGCTGTGGCTGGCCGGGGCACAGGAACACAGGAATGTCCCTGCTATGCCAGGCAGGAATGTCCCTTCTGTGCCATCTGGGGATGAGTTTGGGCTGCCCCTGGGTGTGCAGGTGTGGGGCTGAGGCTCAGCACTCTCTGCCTTCCTTTGGCCATCCAGCCTTGGCAGCTCAGATGGATTTTGCTCCTAAGCACCCTCAAAATCCCTCTGGGGATGTGCTGGCCAAACCCCCAGGCATGGATCCAGCAGTGCTGCTGACCCACAGCTTTTGGGGTTTTAGAGCTCAGCCTGTCCCCAGGAGTCCCTGGGGCTGGGCTAAGGGCTGGCACTGATTGCTGGCTGTGGACTGGCTCGGTGCCACCCGGGCACTGGCTGGGCAGGGCTCCCAGGGAGGCGAGTACAGCTGGGGGTTATCGTGTTCTGGGCTAATTGCTATATATAATATATATATATTTAGGACTTGGACGTCAGCGATCCTTGTGAGTCCCTTCCGACACAGGATATTCTGTGATAATATAATAAATAACTAAATTAGACTATATATATTATAGTAATTATAGATACCAAATAAATAGCATATATATATATGTATAATAATTATATATACTTATATATATTAATTAGATATAGGTACAATATATATAGATATATAAACATGCACATTAATTGCAGCAATTATAACATGGTATTATTTTAATAGCAGGAATTCTATAAATGTCAATACGACATTTAATGTAGACAATTACAGATAACTGTGACTCAGAATATTCTGTGATAATATAAATAAATAACCATATTAAACTATAAATATTATAGCAATTATATGTACCAAATAAATAGCATATATCTACATAATAATTATATATACCTACAGGGAGTAATATAGTTACAATATATATATACACATAAATAGATACATATACATATATATATGTATATAAATATATAATATATAAAATATCTATAACTAAATAATTATGTTATATAATATATACAAAAATACACATTAATTGCACCAATTATAACATATTATATTAATAGCAGGAATTCTATAAATGCCAACATGGCATTTAATGTAGACAATTACAGCTAGCTGTGGCGCCCAGGGCAGTGCGGTGCCCGGCTGTGGGGCAGAGGGGACAGTGGCGTGCCAGCTGTGCTGGTGGCCAGCAGCTGCACGAGCCCTGGCTGTTGCCTTGCAGGACGTGTCCGGCAACGCCGCCTTCCTGGCCTTCACCCCCTTCGGCTTCGTCGTGCTGCAGGGCAACAAGAGGGTGCACTTCATCAAGTGGTGAGTTCATTTCGCCAGGTGGTGAGCTCATTTCATCAGGTGGTGAGCTCATTTCATCAGGTGGTGAGCTCACTGCCAGTGTGAGTTCACTTCCGTGGGCTCCGGGCTGGGCTGGCACAGCTCCCACCTGCCTGTCCTTGTCCCTCCAGGAACGAGGTGACCAAGATGAAATTCGAGGGGAAGACTTTCTATCTGTACGTAAGCCAGAAGGAGGTGAGTGCTGCCCCTCCCCAGGACACCCTGGGCACGGTGGGCTCTCCAGAATGGGACAGCAGCATCACCTGCAGGGCAGGGGCATGGGGACAGCAGCTGCAGCTCTGTGCCCCTGCTGGGGTCAGCTCCTGCTCCTGCTGCTGCCCCAAGGTGGGCACTGGACCCCAGGCCAGGCCACACAGGGCCCCTCAGATCCTGGCCATGCCCTCCCTCGGGTTATTCCCAAGGTGCTCCTTCATTGCCACCATCCCTCGCTCAGCCAGAGCTCCTCTGGCTGGGGTTGGCTCCACAGGAGCAGGAATTTTTAAAATCCCCAGTGTTTCTGGCTGTTCCCAAAGGCTGGGAGCAGAGTGGGCACATCTGCCCGTCCCTCACGCCAGCTGCTGCACCAGGCTGATCCCTGCACCCCAAATGGCTCCAGAGCAGGGTCTGTCCATGCCAGTGCCACTCTCCAGCTCTGTCTGCTCCACTCTTTGTCTGTGGGATGAGCGCCACTCCCTGTCCTCCCCCTGACTCCCTGTCTGTCCCCTTTAGGAGAAGAAAATTGTTCTCACCTATTTTGCCCCGACACCAGAAGCCTGCAAACACCTCTGGAAGTGTGGGATCGAGAACCAGGCTTTCTACAAGTACGTGCTGCTTGCTTTGTGGGGCGAACTGCAGCCCCGTGGGCTGGTGCCCACCTGTGGGGTTGGTCACTGGCCATGTGGCGCCTTGTCCCAGTGGTCACTCACTGTACATTGTCCCAGTGGTCACTCACAGGCCATGTGGCACCCTGTCCCAGTGGCCCTGGCAAAGCCACCAAAAGCACTGTTGCCCTGCATGGGGTCTCTGCCCTCCTTTCCCAGCCCCTCTGTGCTCATCCCTCCCCAGCAAACTCCCATCAGGAAATTATCACTAATTATCTGGGACGAAGCCGGGAATGCCAAGCAGCAGCATCCTGTTGATGCCATCCTTAACCCAGGCCACTTTGTGCCTGGTAATGAGTTTTATTTTAATCAGCAAGCTGCGAGACAGAGCATGCGATGCATTCCCACTGGGAATTCTGCAATCAGCAGCTGCAATCAGCAGGTTTCACTCCTCATTACATGAACATGAAATGAAATTGCAATATTGCTTTACAAATCTCTCTGTGATTAATCGTGGCAGCGGATCGCTGCTGGGTCCTGCACCCTGCTGCTGGGCCCTGGGCTGGCCTGAGGGGCTGCTGGGCACTGCTGGGGACAGGGAGCAGCTCCTGCGGGATGGGGAGGAGATGGGATGGTCCCTGCGGTGAGTGCCCACCTGCCCAGGCGGCGCCGAGCCTGTCACCCTGCAGGTGCCAGGCCATGGGGGGCTTTCAGATCCTGGAGAGTGCCAGTCCCTGCTCGTGGGTGTCACTGCTGGCCCTGGAGAGCGCCAGTCCCTGCACAATGGTCCCTGCTCAATGCTCCGAAAGCTCAGCAGGACTCTCACAGCGCTCCTGGGCTGTTGCAGGTTGGAGAAGTCGAGCCAGGTGCGGACGGTGTCCAGCAGCAACCTGTTCTTCAAGGGGAGCCGCTTCCGCTACAGGTAAATCCTGGCGCAGGTGAATCCCAGCACAGGGAAATCTTGGTGAGGTAAATCCCGGCACAGGTGAATCTCAGCACAGGGAAATCCCGGCACAGGTGAATCTCAGCACAGGGAAATCCTGGCGCAGGTAAATTCTGGCACAGGTGAATCCCAGCACAGATGAATCCTGGCGCAGGTAAATTCTGGGACAGGTAAATCCTGGTGCAGGGAATTCCTGGTGCAGGTAAATCCTGGCAGGAGCAGAT